CGAAAAAATGAAATTAACGCAAGAAAATTTTCGTGCGATGATATATTATGCTATTACGACTTTTGACTTGAATTACTAGTATCCAGACAAGAGTTCATCGATCAACTTATTTCCACGTATGGCGATGAAGCACCATCCTTTATCACTGACAAAATTCACGAAATTCGTGAAGATCGTCCAAAATCAATTGTGCCAGAAAACTATTATGCTGCGCAAAACCTGATACTCGTAATGCAAGATCGATATGCGGCATACTGTGAGATTGAGGTTATGATGGAACCCTAGGCATTAGTTCCACCAGTATACGTCCATACAAAATATTGAGAAAGGTTTCTAAAGAGTGAGAAAGGTTTGTTCTCGTTGGATTCCATCCTCCATCATTTGACAAACTATCAAAAAGATGCACGTGTCAGATGGTGCACACAAATGCTCCAGAAGTACAATGGCGGTGCAAGTATAAGATCACAGTTGACAAATTATGGATACGATTATATGCGTATGAGTCGGAATGCATATATAGAACAGCAGTCGATTGTATCGGTGTTTCAAGATGATCCAAATCCAACAAATGTTGTTCGCGCTCGAAGCGCTTCGAAACAAATGGTAGCTTGTTTTTCCGGGAAAACTGGTCATGTAGCAGCTATACGAGTACCATTACAAGAACGTAAATCGGAATACAAACAAGCGCTGTCGGATCATTCTCCATCAAGACAATGCGAGTGCTCATACATCTCGTCTACTAGTCAACTATTTGAACATTCAAAAAGTCGAAATGATAAGTTATCCGCCGTACAGTCTGCGTACTGACTTAGCACCCACTGACTTCTTCTTGTTCCGGAATAAATTGTCAAGAATAAATTGCGTGGACAACGATTTTTGTCGGCGGAAGCAACAACGAAGCCATTGTAATATTTAAAAATCATGTTTTGGAGATGTCTAAAGAAGATTAGAAAAAAATGCTTTGCAAATGGTTCGAATGCATGCAAAAGTGTATTAATTATGTATAAAGGAGAATACTTCATGAAACAATAAAGCAATTTTCATCATTAGGCTTAAACTATAAATAGTGACCCTCGTACAAAAGTAAACTTCTATTGGTGCCAATTGGTAACACAAAGGTTAACAATAGGTAGAGTATGGATGAAACTGAATTAAATGCAGTTAAATAAATACAAAGAGAAAATATAAAAACAAAGATATAGTGATGGTGTAGTAAAAGGAAGTCCATTTTTTTTGAATGAAATTGAAGACTAATTTACCATAGTTAAAATGGTCAGAATTAGATCAAATAAGCGACGTTTTGTTCGATAACTTGTTGCCAATTTGAAGGTAATTTCATTATGAATCTTTAATAAAAGTCCTCGTCTCTATTGGCAGGAAATTAAGAGACTTTTTATAAGCGTCTCTTGAAGCGAATTTATCACCAGATAAATCGTTCGCCGTGGACAGGAACAGATGGTAATCATTTGGTGCCAGTTTTGCACTATCTTCTATTGTTCAAAGCTGGCCGTTTCTAAGCGATTGCTTCCTTGCGATATTATAGTTCCGAATTAGGAGTTTTGCCGTAGGGGAGCAACTCATAGTAGATGATTCTCTGCCAATCTCACCAAACGCACAGTAAAACCGTCAGGCCGTCAAACCTGGCTTGGCCACCATTGTGAAATGCAAAAAAACTCCAACGAAAACATATAATACATTCATATACCATTTTCAAAATTATTGTCTGTCTAGTGTTTAGGTATAATATCAAGAATAACGGAGATTCCCTTAGAATCACGTTTGAAAAAGAGCTAAAATTTTATTATATGGTCACTTTAAAAATAGTCTTTGACTTACTGGAATGATTTTACTTAATTCATTAAAAAGGTGCCAATATTTATATTTAAGTACTTCGGACCATTTACGTCGATGATTGATTTGGGCAAATGTGATTCAAGCTATTTCGTCACCCAAATTTGAACACCTGTGCTGTTACATTATTTCATAATATAACGCAAGTTTGACTTAACTTAGCTTTGTGCCAACGATAATCCGTTTTCTACTACACCAGTAAGTAACGTACACAACATTAAATTGATAACCAATCCAACCCCTTATCTTTCGGCTTTCACCGGTATTAGGAATCTCATGCCAATTATTTGAAATAGTATTCCAGCTTTTGTATATTTTTAGTCTCTAGCGTTCAATACGGCAAATTGAACACCACCTCCAACACCCACACACATTGACCGGCTAAGGTACATGTGGGCAAAATTTGAAGCGAACAAGTTTGTCGCAGCAGTCCAATGACTTATGTGTCTTACCTGCTTGCTGCAGTTGTACATCCATCATCTATCAATGAGGAATTCATCTCCGTAAAGTGAAATATGCTTTGAATGTGCAATCATTTATGAATAAATTGCACGTTGGATATGCGAAGCAACATCTCGCCAACACCTTGTGTTTTATGGCGCTAAGCACAACACCTCTACCAGATGCCAGTCAAAGAATTGAGCAGAACTGAGCAGAACTGAGCAGTATAGAGCCAAATGAAAGTCTGGCGAATAATACGAACTAGAAACACATGCATACTTATTGCAGTCACTCTTACAAGTGTAAAGACAACATACACCAAACTCTGCTCCGTAACGATTATAAAAAAATACAAGCAAACATAAGAACAATAACAGCGAATACGAAAACGACATATATAACACTTTCGTTAGTATTCTTGAAGTTACCGTGGATACGATGACGAACGTCGTCGTCAACCCAAGTAATGCAACCCACTTCAAATGACGTGTTGGCAAATGGTAAAGAACCAATACCAACACCAACACCAAAAACAACAGCAACATCAACATCAACAATAATAATAATAACAACAACAACAACAGCAGCAAAAACTGCAATATTGCAGCGATCATTTGCCGCCGCCAGGAAATTTCAAATTTATTATCGGATTTGCCATTATTTATGATTTGTGAGAAATCTCGTCGTATATCAAAGTCAATGGGGTGACATAAACTATCGATGGTTATCGATAATTTACGTCAACTCTTTGAAGGTAATAATGATCTATAAGTGCAGGCAAACACCGGCACACAGGCAACCAAGCAACGAAGCAACCTGGCAGCTGGGTAAGCAGTGAAGTAATCAGACCAAAGCACTGCAACGCTTGCATATTGCATCAGTACATGTTCCTCAATATATGTAGTGCATATATTGAAATACAGGAATTTTATGTTTATTTTATTTATTTTTATTTAAATTTTCTATATTTTTGCTTTTCAGATGTGTCCACTGCAGAAATGTCTATTGGAGATATTGTATTAACTATTACATGCAGAAATATTATCAAAAGTGAAGGTGAAAGTAAGTGGCGGCATTTTCGTTAAGGAATGAAAATGTTTGAGTTGCTTTGTTAAAAAAAAGAATTGTCAATATTAGAAGTACCTATGAAAAAGTTCTTCACTACATTAAAGTATTAAAGCAACCGATTCTTATATGTTGCCTCTTAGATTCAACTGCTACATGAATTAGTTTTCTGATATAATTGATAAAAATCAAAGTCATGTGGACTCTTCATATGGACTCTTCATTTGGACTCTTCATGTGGACTCTTCATATGAATCTTTAATGGAGAGTAGTATTTTAAAACGTTGCTCTTACGAATATGTAAAATATTAATTTAATCAAAATAATTATATGTAATTCCTTCTTTCATTCTATTAATTTTCATTTTCATCATATCATCGTACTTGAGTGTATTTCAGATCAATTTTTCTTCCTCGAAATTGTAGCAACCCATTCGGTAACTGAATTTTAGAATTAGGTATAGAAATCAATAAAGACACAGGGTTAGGCAATTGTGTTACGAACTACACATAGGTATATCTGTCAAATTGATATTGACTGCTGCTTATATATATCATAAATATCATAAATTAATATGACTGCTGCTTATATTGTTTACAAACTACCACAAGCATTTGCACCTGAGTTTTATAGAACAAAGTTATTCAAAATAGAATGAGTCGTAGTAGTGTGATTGCGTTATATTTGGCTGGAAAATCACAATCAGCTACTGTTTATACGCTCAAACATCTTAATAAAGTAAGAGGTTTGTATACCGTGGTGGACGAAAAAAAAACAGCAACATCAACTGATATAACTGAACACACTGCCGAAAATTTAAGACTACGAATGGCTACCCGAAGTAATTTTCCATCTCATTGAAAAGTTTGCCATCAGTTAAATTATAGTGTGTAGGACTAAGTACATATCTTTTTGTTTTAACCATGCAAATAGACATGCAGCCATGACAGCGACAAAACTCCACCTAGAAGATAACTGGAAATTAGGAGACAAAAATAGACTACTTGAGACTTACTTTGATTATTCCCTATATGGTTTCCTATATGAAAATAACATAGACATTATGATCATTTTAGAGACCCATTTAACTTCAGACAAAAACGCACACGGAGTGATTAAAAAATGTTCGCAGGTTTCTAACTTAATACAATATCTGGGTGGAATATAAACCGCAGTATTTGTTAAAATACAAAATGTATACCTTTTCGGTATTCTGACCTTTATGGCTACAATATACAAAAATTTGATATGGATATAATTAAGAAATAAGAGTACGAGTTCATTAGTCATTACTGATTTTTGTCAGAGGATTTAACCATGTCATTACTAGAGTGAGCTGGTAATGAAATTTCAAAAGCTTGTTTTAAAAATTTAAATATATTTCAATAGAGTGTGTTTTTAAAAAATCGACCCTATATACGTCCATTACTGTTATTATCAATAATAAATAGTTACTGCTCTTGCAAATTCGGCAGTGAAATTTTTATTTAAACACCGGAGTTAAAAACAAAATTTTAATTTAGTAAATTTATTATGAATAACTTTGACTTATATTAATAAAATTATTATTACTATGAATTTTATTTCGATATAAATAAATCAAAACTTAATTATGTATTTCATTTTTTAGTATTTACTATTACATTTCTGATAAAATATTGAATCTTCCATTCTATAAAACTTTGTATCTTCTTAAACTAAGATGAATCATTTGTGGAAATTGTGGTGTATAGGAAAAGAACGTAAGAAAACTTTAGTAAATGATATAATAAAAAATCTTTCATTTTATTTTCATCAATAGATATCTTAAGAGGGGTAAGAGCTAGATACCCAGCTTCTCTTAGTAGACAACAACCGACTATAAGTGAGTACTTGTTTGTTTTTATTGCATACTAAAATTGTTGATACCTTCGAAATGTTCTAAACTATAATGTGTATTACATAGATTTCAATTTTATGAAAAAACCATCTAAGAGGCAAACCAGCGAGCGCCTGAAGAGATCTGGTGAGTATGCCTCCAAAATAATTGTTGTTAATTGTTGTTAATATCATTATTACATTTTTCAATAGCTGCAACTGGATCCCGCACTAAAAAAATTCAAAAAAACAAAAGCTTCCTGCAGAATGATTCCGCTTGGAAGCTTCCAATAATAAGTTCTGGGCGGCGTCACTGTATGTATAATTTTTTATGAACATATACACTTATATCTAATATTAAAACTTAGTATTTATTTACTGTAAAGAAGTATGAAGTCAACTTCTTTTATAGCTTAGCTTTTAACGAGATTAAGTTTTGGTACTTACTGTTGATTAATTTATTCCTCATATAAAAATTTTTCAAGTAAATATTTCCAAAATATTTGTAATCTTAATTTTTTTTCTTGAAGATTCAAACAGACGCGAGTTGCCTTCCCGCAAACTATCCAACACTGCATTTAAACATGGTATACTAAAACCAATTATTCCAGCATGTAGAGAATTTACAGATAACTGCGTCAGAATAGGAAAATATACTAATAATAAGAATCTAGTTCACAAACGGCGGTGTGCTCTAGCACCAACTGATTTCCCAAAACACAAGTATGGATTAATGAACATAACCACAAAGCTTCCGGCAGTTCCATCGCACCAGGGCTTGCCGTATATAAGTTTGTGGAAGCGTGAAAAGTCTTCCTATGCACCTATACGAAAGAAAAAAAAGAATAATAGTAATCACCGCATCAAGAAATCCCTTACAGAAGCAATAGATATTGCACAAAAAAATATGCTAGCAGCACAAATTAAAAAAAACTCTGATGCGAATCATGGCGAAAGCAAATGTGCTTCACCAATACAAAATGTTGCAAAATGTACTGATCCGGTAGAGAAGACAAGCACTTTTTGTAGCAATATTCTGGAAAAAGAGTTACAAAGCACTCGAGCGAATAAAAAATTGGTGGATGCTGCAGTGTGGATGAATTATAGAAAAACACTAACATCCGATAACATCATTACCGAAAGCCGCTCGCAAGCAACATATGCACTTGACGAGGCCGAAAGAAAAATGCAGAAATATAGTAAAATCAAGGATTTGAAAAACTCACCGTATGTGCAACAAACTCTGGAGCTGGAAGATGAGGATTATAATATAAGAAATTATACCGAACAATTAGACAAAATCCAAAAGCAAATGAAACTTGGAACACGTACTAAAAAAACACAATGTCGTACAAATTATTTAACGTTTAAAGAAGATGCTAAAAATTATTGGGAAACATTAGGACTAGAAGAAGTAGAAAGCAATATTGCCGAAAACAGCAAATGCGTTTCGAATCAACTTTTGAAAAAAATTCAGCAGTTAAATACACTTAAATCTGAAAATGCCACAACCTTGGAAATCGAGTCAACAACTCAACAGTTTGAAAATGAAACAGAAAAGAATATTGTTAGTACAACAAACAATAGCACTGAACGAATAGATCTAGTTCAAGCTCTATTACATAAATCGAAGAATATTAAAAAAACGAAAGTTGTTGATATAAAAACCTTTGAAGAGGAGGTTGCAAGTAATTGGGGCCAATCTGACTTAAGTGGGCAAAATTATAATTTAGCTGATAGCAGCGACAACCCAACACACGTCTTGAATGAACTTCAAAAAAAGCTTCAGCAATTCAATACATCTAAGGCGATAAACAATCTCAACAATAATTTGGAAGTCGTTGAAGAGACCTTAAAATTAATTGAAAAAGGTGAAGACAATGGCAGTAAAATGGCAAATGACAATGGAGAACACATCAATGTAGATCATAATAAGTTACAGTTACAAAAATCTGCATATTTAATCAAAAAGAAAGAAGAGGAGGCTGCGATTTTTTTGGCTGAATTAAATGAAAGAAATCGTACTGCAGCTGAAAGATCCGAAAGTGCAAGTTCTGTATTGGACCAACTCCAAAGCAAATTGCACGCATTAAGATTATCTAAGGAAGCTGCATTGAGCAATGATCTAGCCCTCATCCAAAAAAATATTGAGTCAAATACTTTAGATGCGGGACATGAGAATAAAGTAGCATACAAATACACAGAAGAAATTGACGCTTCACAAAAAAAATTTTATTTGGCTAAAAACAACCGCGAAATAAAAAGAGATCTGCCAGCATTGAAGGAGGCATTTGGCATACCACCATTTACAGGAGTACGACCTGCAACATCTGAAAAAAATGTGTTTGACGGGAATAAATCATATAATAAATGGAATAAATTATTTTTGCGAGACGAGGAAAAAATTAATATGCGAAAACACTCTCTTAATAATGAGAATACATCAAAAAGTCAAAGTGACCAACAAGTCATAGAAACTGAAAACTTAGAAAATGATCCTGATCCTATGGATTACGAACAGGGCTTAATGCCAACAAAAGTAGGAAATAATAAAATATTAAGTCTGCCAACAACACAACCAACATCCTCACTAGACATGCTATCTGTTATTACAAAACAAGTCTATGAGCAAACCAAAGCGGCAAAACGTCTGCAAGAAGCTGAAAAACTTGAAGATTCTCAAGAACCTAATGAACAGGAAAACCATTCAAAGTTACTTGTAAAACTTCAAAATCATAGATTGCCGAACATCTTAGAAACCACTTCCAATGAGACATGGAACACTGGCAAAATCGATTATAATGCTGAGAACAATGTTCAACAATCTGATTGTAAATCTCAAAACTTTGTGGATAATCACGAACCTTTAAAAAAACAAATCCTTCCAGTTGCTACTGGTAGTGTAAATAATATTCAAATGAATACTCAAAAGCAAAGAAATACACGCCAAGCAGATGTTGAAGATGTGTCGAATAGACAGAAAGAAACACAAATGAAACTGTTGCCAATGTTAGCTGACAGAAAAGAAACTCCACAAAATAGGTACGAATCAGAAAACCACAGAAAAATATATATTAAAACCAGGTCTTCAACATATCATCCAAATAAGGAAGTAAACACCGTTTTGAAAAACACAGCACAAACTAAATTGCATGCAGAGGGAACTAATATGAAAGAAATAACTTCTCCCAAAAACATAGAAGAAACAAAGTTTGACAAAATAATAAATGATATGAAAAAAATTCCACAAGACAGGCATTTCCATCCAAAGAACGAATCTATTCAACAATCTTCTGAAAGGAAAAGTGAAAAACCGCCAAGTGCGTATCAGACATCGATTCATACAATCAGTGGGAACGAAGTAACTGTTTCGAAAGATAAAACAGAGAAGAAACTGATCCCAAACTTGACATCTTCTAAAAACACATCGCAATCGAAAAACATAACAACAAATAAACCCACTTTAGTGAGCTATAATATAAATGAATTCACTGCTTCAAAAAGTATAGGTGTTACGAAACATACTTCACAAACAAAATTTGATTCTGAAGACACTACGATAACTCCAAAACGTCGTTCCAGAACAACCGTTAAAAAAGCAAATACAAGCGGTTCTATTCCCGCAGACTCAAATCATATCTCCGAAAATAAATTGATCACAGGTAGAACAAATATGAAACGAGATGTTGATTCGAAACTCAAAGCAAGAAAAAAGTTCACATCGTCTGAATCTGGTTTGAAAGAAAGTAAACAAGACAGGGATGAAACCTCAGAGTACGAAAATACTCAGAAATATTTTAGACAGAAGCCAAAAAAAGCGTCAAGTTCAAATCAAATACCAAATAATTTTACCAGTGTGAAAGATGTAACTGTTTCGAAAAATTTAAGAGAGAAGAAATTGATCCCAAACTTGACATCTTCTAAAAACACATCACAGTCGAACAGCATACCAGTAAATAAATCCACTCCACTGAGAGATAATATAAATGAAGTCACTGTTACAAAAAATATAGCTGGTACGAAATATACTTCAAAAATAAAACTTGGTTCTGGAGACACTACGACAACTCCAAGGCATCGTTCCAGAACAACCGTTACAAGAGCAAATACAAGAGATACTGCTTCCACAGATTTAAGAAATGTCTCCGAAAATGAATTGATCACAGGTAAAACAAATATAAAAGGAGATGTTGATTCGAAACTCAACACAAGAAAAAAGTTTACATCGTCTGAATCCGGTTTGAAAGAAACTCCACAGAACAGGGATGAAAATCCAGAGTACGAGACTACTCAGAAACATTTTAGAAAGAAGCCAAAAAAAGCGTCAAGTTCAAATCAAATATCTCGTAGTTCTACCAGTGTGAAAGATGTAACTGTTTCGAAAAACTTGGCAGAAAAGAAATTGATCACAAACTTGACGGCTTCTAAAACCACACCACATTCGAAAACCATACCAGCAAATAAACCCACTGAAATGAGATACGATATAAGCAAAGTCAATATTTCAAAAAATATAGCTGGTACGAAAAATACTTCACAAATAAATCTTGATTCTGAAGACACTATGACAACTCCAAGGGGTCGTTCCAGAACAACTGTCAAAAAGGCAAATACAATCGGTACTACTTCAGCAGACTCAAATCATAGCTCCGAAAATAAATTGAACACAGGTAGAACAAATACGAAACGAGGTGTTGATTCAAAACTCAAAGCAAGAAAAAAGTTTACACCGTTTGAATCTGGTTTGAAAGAAAGTAAACAAGATAGGGATGAAAGCTCAGAGTACGACACTACTCAGAAACATTTTAGAAAGAAGCCAAAAAAAGCGTCAAGTTCAAATCAAATACCAAATAATTCTACCAGTGTGAAAGATGTAACTGTTTCGAAAAATTTAAGAGAGAAGAAATTGATCCCAAACTTGACATCTTCTAAAAACACATCACAGTCGAAAAGCATACCAGCAAATAAATCCAGTCCACTGAGAGATAATATAAATGAAGACACTGCTTCAAGAAATATAGCTGGTATAAAACATACTTCACAAATGAAACTTGATTCTGAAGACACTACGATAACTCCAAAACGTCGTTCCAGAACAACTGTTAAAAAAGCACATACAAGCGGTTCTATTTCCGCAGACTCAAATCATATCTCCGAAAACAAATTGATCACAGGTAAAACAAATATGAAAGGAGATGTTGATTCGAAACACAAAGCAAGAAAAAAGTTTACATCGTCTGAATCTGGTTTGAAAGAAACTCCACAAAACAGGGATGAAAGCCCAGAGTACGAGGTTACTCAAGAACATTTTAGAAAGAAGTCAAAAAAAGCGTCAAGCTCAAATCAAATACCTGGTAATGCAACTAGTGTCAAAGATGTAACTGTTTCCAAAAATTTAACAGAGAAGAAATTGATGTCAAACTTGACAACTTGTAAAAATACAACACAGTTCAAAACCATACCAGCACATAAATCCACTCCAAAGAAATGTTATATAAGCAAAGTCACTGCTTCTACAAATATTGCTGGTGTGAAAAGTATTTCACAAATAAATCGTGATTCTGAAGACACTACGATAACTCCAAGGCATCGTTCCAGAACAACCGTTAAAAAAGCAAATACAAGCGGTTCAATTCCCGCAGACACAAATCGTATCTCCGAAAATAAATTGATCACAAATAGAACAAATATAAAACGAGGTGTTGATTCAAAATATAAATCAGGAAAAAAATTCACACCGTCTGAATCTGGTTTGAAAGAAAGTAAACAAGACAGGGATGAAAGCATAGATTACGAAACTACTCAGAAACATTTTGGAAAGAAGCCAAAAGAAATGTCAAACTTAAATCAAATACCTGGTAATGCAACTATTGTGAAAAATGTAACTGTTTCGAAAAATTTGACAGAGAAAAAGTCGGACCCAAATTTGATAACTTGTAAAACAACATCACAGTCAAAAATCATACCAGAAAATAAAACTACTCCAGTGAGATATAATATAAATGATATCACTGCTTCGAAAAGTAGGACAGATATGAAAGAGACTTCTCAAAGAAAACTTGATTCTGAAAAGACAATGGAGTCTGAGGGATCTGGCTTGAAGGAAGATCCACTAGGTATGGATGACAGCCAAAAGGCCGAGACTATTCAAGAAAATTTAAAACAAGAAACTGAAATAGCGACAAGTCCATATGGAACACCTAATAATGCAACTAGTGTAAAAGATGTAACTGTTTCAGAAGATGTAACAGAGAAGAAACTAATCCCAAACTCGACATCTTCCAAAAACACATCACAATCGAAAAGCATTTCAACAAATGAACCCACTCCAACAAGATATAATATAAATAAAGTTACTGCTTCAGAAAATATGGCTAGTATGAAAGAAACTTCACAAATTAAGCATGATCCTGAAAAGGCGACAACTACTCAAGAACGTTTTCCGGCAAAAATGAGTAAAATCTCAAAATCAAGCATAGCAGAAAAGAAAATTAGCCCAATTGTGAAAGAAAGTCTACGAGGTAAGCGGGAACGTCAGCAACACGTGCCTACCCATAGCCATGTTATGGAGAAACCTCCAAGTGCATCAGAAATTTGTCAACGAAATATTGAAGTTAACACAGTTTCGGAAAGTATCCCAGAAGAAAAATGGGCAACTGTGAGAACTGATATGAAAGATAAAATTGTTTTGAAAAATGTCAGAGAAAAAGAAATTACCGCAATGGACGGTATTAAAGAAATTTCGCAGGAAAATAATCAAGCAATTTCTACGACGAAGTCGCACACAAAGCCGATCAATAATCCTCTAAATAATGAAATAAAAACAACTCTTGAAAACATGTCAAAAGAAGAATTGGCAACAGTTTCAACTGATATGAAAGAAATTTTGAACGATACAAGTGAATACACTGAGGATGTTGATACTATAGAGCCCTCAGTAAAAACAACATTGGATTCCTTATTATCTTCTATCAGCAGCCAGCATGGACATACATATCGCCGCAGAATAGAAACAAGAAAAATTGATATTGCAGGTCAGTTAATGACTGTCAAAATGAATAATAGAAAATCAACGGAGTCTCAGAAAGCACCTTTAACACCTTCAACACCTGCACCTGCGAGCACATTCCCGACTGCTGCCACGGCAGCAGATAATTGCACCAGATCTGCAGACAATAAAATTGAAGCTCATAAACCTTCGGTTACTGAAAAAATTAATAATAAGAAAAGTCTTATAAATGAGCGAATGAGTCAAAATGAAAAGTATGAACAAATTAGTGCTACAAATTTAACAGTAAACGAAGCTACCGACATGGCTTCTGTTAAAAACAAAATTCAACAAGTTAAATGCAAATCACAAATGATTATTGATAGTAATGAACGTTTTAAAGAAGATTGTAAAGCCTCAAGCGTAGGTAATGGTCAAACAAAAACCCAGAAATATGAATACACTAGGCAAGAAAACATAGTAACTGCTTCAAAACACACAATTAAAAATAAATTAACATCAGCACCAACTGACATAAAAGACCCTTTGCAGAGTAAGCGCGATACCGAAAAAGACGTGGCTTCTGAAAAGTTGCCTGCAAAAGAGATGGCATCAGTTTCGAATAAGGATCAAACAGATTCCCAATATCAAATTAATATTCCGGCTTCTAAAAACCCTACTGCTGTGGAAACAGAAACTGCTTCCGAAGTTACACCTAACAACACTAAATCTGCAGTTGATCTGGGTATAAAAGAACCTCCACAAAGCAAGCACGAATCTCAAAATTCTACATACACACAACAAGAAAAGAAAGACTCTTCAATGAAGTTAACTACTAATATGTCAAGTGCTAAAATTACTTACAGTAGAGAGGGGCCAATTGCTCAATTACGTAATAAGAATGCCCCACTAAAGTTGGCACCTGCTTCCATTACCGAAGAAACAATAATCTCGAATGATATAAGTGAAACTCCAAAAGATCATTTGGAACCCGAAACCTCTACAGATATGAAAGACAATATGAACGCTCCATCAAATTCCAATAGCAAGCCTTGCGTCAATCGCACCGGTTTAAAGTCCAACAAAGTCAACTACGCAGAAGGTTTAATGGAAGTAAAAGTTGGAAACAGAAAAATAGTAAAGCCGCAAACTTCACCGCCACCACCACCAGCACCAGAGGACTCCGACAAAACTCCTACCGTTCGACTTAAACATCGCTGCCGTGCTTGCGAATAAAAGATTTCAAAATTCTGAATTTTTTCTATAAAATTCGAAATTTAGGTGTCATGTATTTTTACATATGTAAATGCATGGAGCTAAATATATACATACACATATATGAATGTATATGAGTATGTATATATTTAGTAATAATATTGTATTCACAAATGTAAAAATATATAATGCAAAGTGAATCGATATATCTGTATATATATATATTTTGGAGTAAAATCAATGCTTCACAATATTAATTAGTGGGTTTACTTTTTACTGTTTCGGATGCAATCACCGCTGCAGACAATGTGAATAAAAGGCCTCAAAATTTTGAAATATTCATATATATTTTATAATAAGGATGCCAAATTAAATAAAATTTTTAATGTGTATCATTAAATAATAAAAAAAAATTGCTTAATATTGTATTTACACTTACCTTCGAATCCGGACACAAATCATTTAGGTAAATTTATTTTGGTAGATCCTATTTCACTTTATACCTGAACGCATACCAAAAATATGATGAAATTTAATGTAGAGCTTTGTACGTGTATGGAAATGTGATTGCAAGTATAGAAGAATGGTGCACACGTAATTGCCTGATCCTTGATTTGCTAAAAATGTTTATATAAAATACTATATTCGTATTTAAATTCGTTCTCACCTTACCGACTCTCGGAAAGTTGCAATGCAGAGTAATGCGTTCCATCAGTCTTGGTTTGCACATGAAAAATTCGGACACTCTTACCTGTTTTCTGTGAACTTATACAGGATAAATAATCACACTGAATATATGTTATCATTTATCGATCATAATGTCTCCAAATTAGATCACATTCTACCAATCCTTGGATGGTGTGACAACAGCAACATTAGGCAGTTAATTGTGTCTTTTCGTGCTAATGTTCCAAAAAATATTGCTGCATTCCGTAATTTTCCAACCAAACATATTTTGATAGAAGCTGGGCTGCCTGCAGTATCAAATGGAATCAAGATAACAACTTGTAATCTCCCTAAGCTACTGTGAAGCATCAACGCTTTGATTACTCAATGGTTTCTCCAATCTGCAACTATTGCAATCGACCTACAATACAATTTGAAAAGCTACTAATTGCTGTACGAAAAACAATAGCTCTTTATTGTTCACATTGCGATTGTATCCCAAAATGGTTCCGTCTCCACGGATGGGCAAGTCACACCATATTGTTCTATATTTACTACTAACACTCTGACCATCAAATTTGCTACAGACCACGCAACATGAAATAGAAACAAAGTTCTGATATGTACAGACAGTACATCTTTAATCTAAGTGGTAAAATATCTTAGTAATAGGATCGAAGTTAACTGTGCTATTAGTAACAACGGTATACGTTATCGCGACAAAATAAAACCACGTGGTTTCTTAGTCAATCATGAATCAAAGAAAATGAACTAGTAGGTCAAGCTGCTTCTGCCGCTATCCATTCTCCCTTGTTTTTATCTTATTCATGCAAAAAGAAGATATATTAGAAATTATTAACAAACCTGTGGAAGACACAAGATCAATAGAATGGTCAACATACAACCATCGCACAAGTCGATTAATAGTCCACCATCCATAGATCATATATCCATTAATTAATTTACTTTTAAGTCAATTCAAAAAAATATCTTTTTAAATAATTTATCACTTACTAGCCTATTAAAAGTAGCTGCTACTTAAAATATATAGTACCCTTGCTTTAAATATACATACAAGTCAAAGTCTGTAATTCGATCAATTAAATTCGATATATAATACCCGAGCTGAAAGCCCTAACAACTAGTACTCGTTTTGTTATTTCAGATAACAAAACAATCAGATCCTAAATTTTGTAATCAATTGTAGTAAGTAAAATGTGAATTTTATACATTATTGAAATATATATAAATATATATACAGAAAATAAAAATTTCTCAGTAATTTATACGTTTCAGGAATCTAGTTAACCATTGGCAAGTAATTGATCACAATATGTGATCAATACATATGTGAATTAACATGTTAAGTGTAGCAAAATATAATATAAACTAAGGTAATACAATTATCACTTCTAACTTCATAGAAACCAGTTAAAAAAATATATAATAAATATACGTAATGCACATACTACGTAATGCACATACGTAATGCACATATATGTATAAAGTATATATCATTTCCCATTTATTGCCGGTATATATAACAGATATCATTTTTTCTGAGTAATGAAACTTCTGTTATACTATAGTCTTTTGGTGGATATAAACTAAGCTAATATCTACATGGGTGTGAAACTATATACTACCACATCTATAAAAATGGAAGAATCCTTTTTTTTGTAAAGGATTAATAAAATATAAAATTCCATCATTTATTGTCATTATTTTTTTACTTGCATCATCCCATGTTGTTGGATTAAGAAGAACTTTATATAATAATCCTTAAGACGTTGTAATAAAATAAGGCAGATATTGATGTAAATAGTTCGTTGTTAAAACCTTTCAGTAATACGAGTTAATAATATATAAACTTTTGATAAACTATAATATAAACTATAATATAAACTATAATATAGTACTTTTGAAGGTACTCAGCAAAAGCTAATAGTCATCCCTAACAATGTTGACTCCAATATTTCTGCGAGTACACCGACTTCAATACAGATAGTGTTATTTCTGCACTGTAGTTGGGTTTTGGAGCAAAATGTTTTTATATTAATTCATTTAATTTGATAAAGGTAAGGGAGAAAAATCAGAAATTACTACTCAATCTGTTGTTTATTGATTAATGCTTTCACTTTCGATAGTGTTCATCGGTCTAGTGATAGTGCACATAAATGCTTGTGTCACATAGGGACTGTGTGTCTCCTTGTTTGCTTATTATGCAAATTTATTGACATACATTCCTGAAAATTGACGACAGTTGAGCTTAAACAGCGACGCTGACAAATTGGCTTCGTTGATGAATGTTTTAGTTCGACCTCTGCTTCTTACTCCTTCAGCACTTCATTAAAAGCTTGAATGTACTATTTCATCAGAGTTTTTGTAAAACTTTTTTTATCCGAACCATTTGTAATTCCTACGCATTATTTCTTTCTCGATGAGTTTTTGATCTGTTATTTGCCATAAACGTTCATTGGATATAGTACGCGGTTACCAAATGTGCCAACAATATGACGCAAACATCTGTTGACAAAGGCCGAGATATTCGAACTCTTGTACATCATCTACGGCTTCTCCAGATACTTCAAACTGTGCATTGTTGCTAACGTTAATTCGTATGGATTTGGTCTTGTTCGTGTTAACTTCTAAGCCAAGTTTCAGAGCGTTATTAGTGAAGCTTGAAAGCCTATCCAACACTATTATGGATTAACGTCATCAGCATATGAGAGGACGCCTAATTTTTGTGTCAGCTTCTACTTTATGCCGCATCCATTGCATGCCATAAATACTAAGTCCAATGCAGTTATAAAGATCAACGGAAAGGGTGCGCTTCCTTGTTTGACTCCTAATATGGTCAGAAATGCTATGAGAAATGTGAACTTCTTTAATGCTAAGCTAATACCCTGAGCTAGAAATGTAAAAAATCAAAGCAGGTCTTTCAGAATTAAGCACACATTAAGAAGGTATTATTTATTGGAATCTTTATAACAAGGTCCACTAAATATCATTAACTATAATGAGTTACAATACAACTTAGCACAATTTTAAAATCGAGACAAGTCTCTCTTTTGTTTAGATGGGCAGGGAACAAAGCAAGCTAGTAGCCTTACAGTGGTATCAGTGTAACAGAGGAACTGGTTATTACACGGATCAATTTTCGGAAGCTGATGTTTATTTCAGTGGCCTGTTCGCCAGTTAAAGAGGAATTACTTAGCACCAAATAAAGTTAATATTTCAGAAAAATGTAGCAGTTCTGACTAGCAGTTCTTCAAACACCTCTCTTAAATATATTCCATTGAGTAGTTTTGATTATGTAAACTGTTTTATATCAAGATCACAAACTGGGAAGTTAGAATCCCCAATATTTTAGCTGCGCTAGCATATGCATAAGGTGTCTGCTTTCTCAATAAAAATAAAACGAGTGCAAAATACATGAGATATTCCGACTTGAAGTATCGTTATTACCAATTATTATTTCAAGCACACTTTAAATTATCTTTAACTATACTTCTATGACGTATTTTTATTTCTTGAAAAAAATAAAAACTTGGCGTTTGATATTACGTTGGTTAAGGATATTGATAATCACGTGGTTAAAACGAACAATCGCGATTTGTTTAAATAAATCATAAGCAAATAATATGAAATATTGATGAAATATTCCAATTGCTGGTGGCGTGATTTTTAAACTATGCAGGTCATAATTGGAAGCTGGACGGCATGACACGTGATCAAAAGCAAATTTATATACAAATTCAACAGCAAATTGGTCACATTAACGAAAACTTTGTACAATTAATGTCAAAATTGAAATACGTTTGTGTGCTTGACTAAAATGCCAGGAGATCTATTTGCATTGTCAATGTATAGATGCATGCCAGGCTACTGTGTGCAGATATTTGCACTGTTCTTGCAGCCAATAAATGCCTATTTGTTGATGGTCAGTTGAAGCCACAAACATTTACGATTATGTCAAGTCAAAGCCACTGAGCAAATAGAGCACCGAACAATGTAGCAAATGGCGCTTTGTAGGCACAGCCAAATGCTGAGGCTACTTAAGACCGAGCCAAGACGATGACCGTGGGTGTATGTCGAGGTAGGGTGGGTAAACACCCTACCAAATACAAACACAATCATTGTGTGTGCGAATAATACGAGGGAATGCGGTCGTTAATAATCGCTCGTATGGAGAACGCACGCTGAAAACGCGAACCTAACCTAATAAATGTCATCCCTCAAAGTGCGTCTGTCAAATGCACATGAACACAAACATACTGCGAACTGAAGTCGTACTCCAATGCACATTTACACACTGACACTCACAGTTACCGAAGACATACATCTTAAGTATTCCATGTAAAATGCTAA